TTACACATACTTGGACTCTTTAACTATCATATAGAATCGTTATAATATTAATTTTCTTTTTTTTAATAATTTTTGGAGCGATTTTAAAAATTCGAAAAATTTTAACTTTATAAACAAATACTTTCGTGAAGCCGTTTTGCGGGTTGGAATATATACCAAAGTACTAAAAAATAGTTCTCGGAAAGACGCTTAACTTGAAAAAAAGAACGTTCAAATCGGTCACATAAGTTCCGAGATATCAAGTGTCAAAGTCAACAAGCGTTAGCTGCAAAACTATGCATAATGTAACAACAACAAAAATTGAATTTGGTAGGTTTTTTAAGAACTTTTCGTATGTGCTTTTATAAATATTATCGCACGTGTGCTTTTTATATGAAAATTCAATGAATATCGCCAAACCGACCGTTTGAGCCGCAAAACCGGGGGGAGGGGATGAATGATAGAAATTGAAATCGCGCGTTCAAAAAGAGCGCGCCCTCTTCGGCGTTCAATATCTCGGCTTCTACGGCTCTGATTTTGATGATTTTTTTTAAATCGATATAGCAAAATGAGAGGAATTCAATTATCAAGATTTCATTGAAATATTATAAAGCCTTATCAGCCTATTACGACTGCTTAAAATTTCATACATTTCATTGTTGTATATTCATGTAAATAATATCGATGACTATTGTTAAGAGGTATTAATTTTAATAACTACTTGGTAATAATGTTTAAAATCTTGAAATTTTTATGTCCTAATGTAATTTATTTATTGTTTACATATAAAATAGAAAAAAATGCAGATACAAATAATTATTATTTGATATTTATAAAACGTATCATCGCATTATTAAAAAATGTATTAAGCTTTTTTATAGCATAGTTGCTGATTTCGCTCTCAAAAATTTCTTCCTTTAGTAAACAATTAAAAATCGCACTTTGCAATTCATTATACAGGCTGTCATGCGGTGACGACCCATTAGAATATTTCGGAGACTACTTCGATTTGAATTTTGAAAATTTTTGACCTGGTGGTTTTGGAGGTTTTATTTAGAGTTTAAATAAAATAATGCCATTGTTGTAGTACTTCCGGTTATACCGGTAGTCGCCACCTATTTGCTTATTATAAATGGAACATCCTGTATATTTTTGTATATTTGAATTCTACGCATATTTTTAGAGGACTTTTATAAAGCTTCCCTATATGTATCTCTAATGGTCTAATGGTCTTCGACCTATTTCAATTTCATATTTATTGTCGAATTTGATTGACCGAACCGCCAAAACTTGGTTTTTCTAAATGGGACACCCTGTATATTTAATAAAAATCTGTTGTAGAAATTTACTCCACATCTATCCATATTACACCTCCCTATACCTATCTTTTAATTTTTCTGTTTTTGACGGATTTTGTGATAAATAAAATGATCCAATTTCTTGCGAGGATGGCTATGAAATTGCTGGCAAATTTAAAAAATCAAATTAACCAACCATAAGTCATTATTTGCTGTTAATTTAACAGTGGTACCTACTTACAATTAGTTAAGCACTGATTTGAAAATAATGGACAACAATACTTATTCAAATGCTGATATTATAAGTGAAAATACCAATGATGTAAAAAAGTGAAAAACTTTAATAATACGATAATTATGAAAGTATAATAAACACGTTTTGTAAAAATAAATAAATAATTATTTGTATCTATATTTTTTTCTATATTATATGAATACAATAAATAAATTACATATTAAATAAAGATTTCAAGATTTTATTTAAACATTATTACCATGTAATTATTAAAACTAAAACCTAGTAACAGTGGATTATGTACCTATATCCTACCATCGATATTATTATTTACATGAATATACAGTATAACAACGAAATGTGGAAAATTTTTAGTCGTAATAGACCGAAAAGGGCTTTATAATATTTTAATGAAACCTTGATAATTGAATTCCTCTCATTTTTCTACATCGATTTAAAAAAAAATCATCAAAATCGGAGCCATAGAAGCCGAGATACTGAACGCCGAAGCGCGCGCGCTCTTTTTGAACGCGATTTCAATTTCTATAATTCATCCCCTCCCCCCGGTTTTGCGGCTCAAATGGTCGGTTTGGCGATATTCATTGAATTTTCATATAAAAAGCACACGTGCGATAATATTTATAAAAGCACATACGAAAAGTTCTTAAAAAACCTACCAAATTCAATTTTTGTTGTTGTTACATTATGCATAGTTTTGCAGCTAACGCTTGTTGACTTTGACACTTGATATCTCGGAACTTATGTGACCGATTTGAACGTTCTTTTTTTCAAGTTAAGCGTCTTTCCGAGAACTATTTTTTAGTACTTTGGTATATATTCCAACCCGCAAAACGGCTTCACGAAAGTATTTGTTTATAAAGTTAAAATTTTTCGAATTTTTAAAATCGCTCCAAAAATTATTAAAAAAAAGAAAATTAATATTATAACGATTCTATATGATAGTTAAAGAGTCCAAGTATGTGTAAAAAAATCAGCGCCAATTAAAATGCCTAACTTTAACCCCAGCACTGACGCAAAAAAATAACGACATTTCGCGCTGAAATTTAGTAACAAATTGTCTCATACCAAAACTATCAGACCGATTTCGATCGGGTTTTGGAATTTCGTTTTGTAATCCTTTAAAGTACTTACATGTACATTTATAGTAGAATTGGACAATTTCTTACCTATCAGTTGAACGCTTCAAAATTACCTCGATTTTCATCACTTTCTTACGCTGTTTTGGCTTTCTAGCAACAAAAATATTGAATACGCAGGTCTCAAAACAATTGTGTCTTATAGCAAATTTCATAACAAACAATTTCAGCAGTAATAGTTTTTTCTGTAAACTGCATATTTAAGAAGTTATATTGGAAAATGTTAGGAAAAACACGTGATTTTTGAGTATTTTTGCAGTTTTTAATTTTTTCTGCAAATAGCACAACTTTTTTTCTTGGCGCAACCTTATATTTTCATTGTTTATATTATTTTCGACCGATTTTTACTAATATCTAATCTACGTCAAGCAACAGCCATGCCAATGTGTAATTCTCCTGGACTATAAGTCCTTTGTTAAAATCCATGAATTCATTAAAAGCATATTATACCAAACTTAGTGCTGCTGCTTTTGGATAAAGGTCTTATCAATGTCTGGTACATCGCAGCACCCCTGCCGTGGTGTCACAAAGCCGACGTGATCCAAATGATTATGATCTTATCTACACAACAAAGAAAGGATTGATAATGTTTGGGTTCCAAATTGGTATAATTCTGTTACACGATACATTAACCGACAGAATGCACTTTAAAATGTTTTTTTTTTTTTATTTTACTGAATTCGATAAAATTATTTGGAATATATAAAAATTACTATGAAAATTTAAATATAGAATGCGGTTGATTTTTTTGGTAATTTTACAAGATCTCTTGAAATTTCCATAATAAAATGACTACAATTATTTTACTGAACTGAACGTTACATAAAAAATTCCAGTATTATATTTCTCCTGAAAGCTGCGCAATGATTAAATTCTCTTAAGTATCCTTTTGCCAACTAAAGTTTTGCTCTTTAAATTCTGATACAAAATGTTGTGTAGTGTAATGTAGCATTTACGAAATAAGCCAAACACGATTATTAAATATTTCCATTATTTAATATTATCAATTTAATGTTTATTAAATCTGTAATAGAAAAAACTAACGCATTAATTGTGTTTAGAGACTGCGGAAATTTTTCAGAAACTTGAAAATTCAAAAAAAAATCAACAGTTTTTATTGGCAGAAATTTCGGTGGCATATTAATTATTATTTTTAAAGTTCAATATTTTTATAAGGCAAGTTACTAAAAAACTACCGAAACTATTGAAATATTTTAGATGTTGCTTCAGGTGGTATTGTTTATAATTTTATGTCTAGTCGTGTTATTGTTAGTGAAAAAATGTCACATGAAATTTTAAAACAATTAATTGGTTTTCTCTGGGATGTTAATAGAAAAGAAAACAATTGTCAAATCAATCAATCAAAAAAAATCGCAGCGTTTTGAAATTATCAGGGTTTCTTTAGGACACTTTGAGGTTGAAAAGTGACAGTCAATATCCTTAATTTATTCATTATTTGCAAAATTATGCCAAGGTATTCAAATATCCCTAATTATGCTATTTTTCACTTTTTCTCCAATAAACATATTCACTTCGAAAATAATTGTTTTATCAAAAACCAATAATTACGACATATACAGAATACTTTGAAGTTTTCAAAACCCTGCTTGGATTTTCTGTACACCATTATTTCCCGAATAACTGATTGCCAAAGTCAAAAATGATTTTTTGCTTTGATCGACGATAACTCATTGTCAGCGACAAATCAACGTACAAGGCTCCGGAACCGCACAAATCGAAGAGAAATTTGAAGTCCATAGGCCTTTTGAAAGAAAAGCAAAAATTTGCAATTTCTTTTCGTTGATTTTCTTTTGATTACTCAAAAATTGCTGACGCTAAAAAATTTTAAACTCCACATCCGAAAACTAGAAACTTTGAAGCTTGAATTTCCTTTTTTTTTATTCTCTCTACGACCATTTCCCTCCAAATTACAGCTCTTTGAAAATCACTTAAAATTTTGGTATTCTTTTAATATCCCTTAATTTCTGTGCCTAAATATAGTGTATATCCCATTCATTTCTTGAGTTTCATCTATTAGTGATTTTTTTCATAATTAAATTGGAACGTCCTGTTTACACAAATATAGTTTACTAAAATCCACATTCCACTATTCCTGACGATGCGTATTCAAAATATTTGTATAATATATAAATAAAATAAGCAAATATAAAAAATGTTCCAATTTGCTCATTTTGTTTACAACTTTTCCTGACAGCGATTTTCGTCTTTAATGCTTCTAAGCACAGAAACATTTTTTTTCCTTTGACTAGGGAATAGCTGGTAAAAGAAAGTGGAAAACATGTTTTCTGTAGGTACATATTAACAAAAGGGTAATAGTTATTTCATTTATTTAAATGTCCATTTGTACAAATACATTAACAAGTGAAGTGTGTAAAACTAAAGTAAAAGCGTATTTACAATTTTGAAGAAATGCGGTGTTAATATTCATTTTAGAACATTTTAAAGGTATTGTCCGTGGGCGCAACGTATCTTTGTTCATTATTTCGAAAAGTAATTGTATACTACTCGTATTCTATTTACGCTCAAAATTGCTCCTTTATTTAAACAAAATCAAAACCTCTAAAATATTCGCAATCGGATACACCCACCGCGTAGGTACGTTTTCTATCACAGGTTAGTAAGTTGTCTCGACTCTAAGTCCTATAACCCCAGTCTTCCTTTATCATATCCGCCCCCTTTTCCGCTATCATGAACACGGGGGCGTTGGTGTGCGCTGCCGGTATCTCGGGTATAATAGACGCGTCGACCACTCTCAGATTCTTCACCCCGTACACCCTCAGCCTGGGGTCCACCACCGCCGACTTGTCACTGGGAGGCCCCATCTTGCAGGTGCCGCTGTGGTGGTAGATGGTGAAGGTAAAGTGCCTCGTCATGCACGCGAAGTACTCGTCCGTCCCGAAACCAAACTTCTCGCACTGGGGTATGGGCTTGGTGTGCAGGCTGCTTCTTAAATCCTTCAGGGCAGGTTGCGCGGATATGTTAAGCGCCAGCCGCACGCCCTTGACAATAGTGTCCAGGTCCGCCTGGTCTGCGAAGTAGTTGGGGAATATTTTGGGCTTGGTCTTGTAGTTGCCGTCCCTCAGCATGATCCTCCCCTTGCTCTTCGGACGCAGCAGCATGGGGAAGACCATGAAAGTCTCGGCCTTTTCGATCGGCTTGTAGACCTGGTCGTATAGTTCGTCGGTGATGCCGAAGTTCTTCCTGAGCAGGGGGTCGGACACGATGGAGCCCGCTTGATATAACAGTTCCATATCGGGGTACCCGTCGGGGTCGTTGGGGTTGCTGAAATCGTGGAAGACCAACACCTCGCAACCCCCAGGCACCGACATCGGCCCAGCGTGGTGGTTCAGGTACGAGTCCAGGTTCTCCCTGGTGATGACTTTGTCCGTGCGGATGGAATAGGGTTTGTCTATGAGGAAGGTGAGCCCGCCCATCGCTATGTGGTCCATCAGGTTGTACCCGACCTTTAGGTTTCTTATGACGGGGATGCCCAACGACTTGAGGTGCTTCGTGGGGCCTATTCCGCTCAGCATGAGCAGTTGGGGCGAGTTTATAGCGCCGCCGCTTACGATGACTTCCTTCTTGGCATATACCGTGTAGGTTCTCCCGAAGCGGACGAATCGCACTCCCACGGCTCGCATCGTTTTGGGATCTATGAGGATTCTCTGCACCAGGGAGTGCTTCTTCATGTGGAGGTTGGGCCTGCGGTATATAGGGTGCAGGTAAGCCCTGCTGGAGCTATCTCGGACTCCGTCACGCAGGCTCACTTGTAGTCTGGACACGCCGATCTTAAATAAGTAAAATTAACCCAGAATTAGTTAAATCAAGTGTATAGGTACGTTGACAGAAAAGGAACGTAAAAAAATGTGAAACATCGAAGAGAAAGTAAAATTATTATTATTGAGTTAATAATTTTTTTGACTTAATTTACTTTTACGGAGTTTTTTAGGCACTTTTATTATTCTTATGTTACCTTGCACACCCAGTACAGTTTATGTTATGCTCGAATATTTCGCATTTTACAGATGCGTAATGAATGATTTTTTAAAGTATTTCTTTCCTATACTTACAAACTTTTTAAAGTACGTGCTTACGACAGTTATGCAACCGTGAATGAAACAAAAATTGGAGAAGAATAGTTTTGTTTTTAATCTCGGCTGGAGAAATATTCCGCTAAACTGGGGTTACGCGTTTTGAGTTCAAAACAGGATATTAATGATTTTTCGGAAATTATGCACATGCATCATGAATTATTTATTTATTATCCAAACTTTCGAACGCATGCAAATGAATTAGTGGTTGCATACTCATATAATCAAAATACTATTCGAAACATTCGCGCGCAGTTTGTTCCGTGCTGTTATAGTCCAGGCGGTATCTGTTTCGGGTTGGGTAAAACGCATATGATCGGAGATTTTTGCTTTAACGGTTTCTAAACAACATTAGAAATGATAATTTTTCTATGCAAATAAAAAAAAATGTTGTTATTGCAAAAAAGTAGGTATTAAAAAATAGAAAAAAAATCATTTTTCTCTTGGATTTCTCGTCGACAATTTAGCAACTATTCATTTTAGACAAAAATGAAAGAGGAAAAAAAGTTTTGTAATTAAATTTTGATCAAGATAAAGTTAGTTGCAATTCGAAAAAATAATTATTGTTATTGCAAAAATCGGAAAAATCATTTAAAAAATTGCAAAAATGCTAGTTTATTTGTCAATTTTTTTCAGACACTTGAATAATACCTAGGATCTTCATATTTTTCCCAATTAAACTTCTTAGTGCATAGAATCATCACACCAAATTTCAACCAATTCGGTTAGATAATTTTTACATAATAATTGTTTAAATTTTTAATTTTTTTTTAAATTAAAAAATTTTCAAAATCAAATTTCTAAGAATCTAAAGCCTTTGAATACTTGAAAATTTCACCACAAAAAGAAGAGCTCTCAAGCTTTAAAATTGTTTTTGAAAAATTCAAATCGGACGCTTAGGTGAGCCGTGGTGATTGTTTAAACACTTTCGCAATTTTTACAATTGCAATAATTTAATGTTTTTTTCAATCGATTTTGAAGAAGTATTACACCCATTGCCAAGGACAAATGTGTAAAAATGCTTACAAAACAGTGAAAGTAGACGAGTTCAAAATCGATTTTGAAGAAGAATGTCAGAAGAAAGTGCAAGAGAACTCGACAATCAGATTTCAGAGTCGTTAGAAAATGATATTTTGCAGTTGCAGGAGGAAATCGACGACGAAATAGATTGTGATAATACTGATGAAAAATCACCAACTAGTAAAAGAATTAGATTAGATTAAATGTAAATAAAAATTGAAATAAATAGTAAAATTTGAAAAATCATGAGAAGTGTACAGTTTATTGAAGTATCCAAAAGATTCTTATACTTTTTTTATATAAATAAAAAATAATTTTAAGATAAATATTTTAAGAGTAAACGAAAAAATTAAATTTATAATTATTCACAATTTATTTTTTTTGAAAGATTTTTAGAAATTGATTGTACAACTAAAAATTAATACCAATTTTCAGTTGTTTATTTAAATAATTATTGTTTAAACAATTTTATAATATTTAAACAACTTACTAGTATTACCTGGTGCAACATGCAAAAATATTGGTCGTGAATATTAATATAGTAAATAAATAAACATAATAAATTAATCATTTTTTAAAGTAACTGTTTATCTACATGTCAAAAGTCTAATAATTAATAATAAAAGGTAGTTGAAAATATGATAATTGAACTTTTTAAGTAGCGAGACATCGATTTAAAAAAAAATCATCGAAATTGGTCCATTAGAAGCTGAGATAAGTGAAATTTTTCCGAACGTCGCAGTTTTGAACTCGAAAATTCAGATCGGAGTAGATATGTGTTTGCTCCCCCTACCACTGATTTCACGCGATCTGGAATATCTTTGAGTGACATTTTAAATGGGACGCCCGTGATTGCAAATTTTGAAAATTTATATCTGGAAAGTACTCGGGATGACACACCTATTAGTTCAAAAAACAGCCCTTATACCCTTATAGTTTTGCTGTAAATAAGGGCTATAACTCCGAAAATAATGGGCGGATCATCAGGTTTTTTTTTAAATACTCGTCTTTCCGAGTACTTTCAAACCATATTTTAAAATAAAAAAAAATTTAAAAAAACATTAAATTATTGCAATTGTTTATAAGCGTGAAAATTGCGAAAATGTTTAAACAATCACCACGGCTCACCTAATCGTCCGATTTGAATTTTTCAAAAAGCATTTTAAAGCTTGAGAGCTCTTCTTTTTGTGGTGAAATTTTCAAGTATTCAAAGGCTTTAGATTTTTAGAAATTTGATTTTGAAAATTTTTTAATTTAAAAAAAATAAAAAAATTAAACAATTATTATGTAAAAACTATCGAACCGAATTGGATGAAATTTGGTGTGATGATTCTATGCACTAAGAAGTTTAATTGGGAAAAGTATGAAGATCCTAGGTATTATTCAAGTGTCTGAAAAAAATTGACAAATAAACTAGCATTTTTTGCAATTTTTTAAATGATTTTTCCGATTTTTGCAACAACAATAATTATTTTTTCGAATTGCAACTAACTCTATCTTGATCAAAATTTAATTACAAAACTTTTTTTCCTCTTCCATTTTTGTCTAAAATGAATAGTTGCTAAGTTGTCGACGAGAAATCCAAGAAAAAAATGAATTTTTTTGCTATTTTTTTATACTTTTTTGCAATAACAATTAAGCCCACGTTTTTTTTATTTGCATAGAAAAATTATGATTTCTAATGTTGTTTAGAAGCCGTTAAAGCAAAAATCTCCGATCATATGCGTTTTACCCATGTATACCCTTTATAAAACAGATACCGCCTGGACTATTAGTTAGGAAGTAGAAACCAAGATGAACTCCGCGTTTTATAACGATTAAATCATAGATTTTCCCAATAAGAATTATAAAATAATAAATAAACGTATCTATTATACGCTTGACGTATGTATAAAATATTAAAAAATATACTCAGATACATGGGCGCCCACAGAAAAATTTCTCACGGGGGGCCAAATCGAAATTGTGGATGTATATTTAGGAGAATTTTAAAACATATATCTCACGAAATTTTAAACAGGCAATAAATATCCCCTCTCAAAATCGTTTACGGTAATGGAAATGCAATTTGTTGGTTTATACTGCAATCAATCAATTAATCCAATTTTGTTATTTTTTCACGTGAAATCAATTTCAAAATTTTAAATAGAACACCCCGTTTATTATTACATGTTAAAAGCCTTGTTACAATACAAATTATGATGGAAATTAAAATGTGATAAATTTAATAAACTAAAGTTAAGACGGGTCCTTATTCTTGAATTCTCATCTTAATTTTAGTTTATTGAATTTATGTTAGTATAATTTAGTTAAAAATAGATGTTATAGAAATTATATTTCTTAAACTGTGTATCTCCCATCATACGTCTGAAAATACGAGTAATAGGTAGGTACATGATTTTTATTCAACTGACAAAATTTCTGCCATTGTCCAAGAAAATTCCTAATCTCGTAAATACAAAATTGGAAAGAAAATTTGATAATAAAGAACATCTACCATTCTACGCCAAATTTAATTTCTATTTTCCAACCATTTTCCAATGCCTGTCTAAAACTTCTTGGGTAACCCTTTATAAATATAGGAGACAAATACGAAAAGAGTTACTACTGAAATAAAGTGTATTAAACAAGATAGCAAAAATTAAAATCACATTGTTTTAAAGCACAAAATCTAAATAAATTTAACAATAATCACAGGATTACGTCTAAACTAAAACATTTTGTAAATAAATAATAATAATTATTATTAAAAAAACGTAACAAAAACATATCAAGATAAATAACTCTATTTGATCATCCACTAATTCTACTAATATTCAGTATTATAATGCTTATTATTCGAAAGCCATTGTTCTCGGATAGAAATTGTTCAGCATTTATATACATTAATTCTGTAGTCTGTAGTTGCAAAAGACGCATGAGACATAAAACTAATAAATTAAAGAGTTTTATAAAAAGAAAAGTGATCAAATAAAAAATGCGTCAACAAGATTTTTTTATTTAAATTTTTCTGTTATAAGCAGCTAATTACATTAATTATATATTCTTATGATCAAATATTTTTACTCAACTTGAACATGAGAAGATTAAATCTCAGGGGGGGCCACGCCCCCCCACCCTGCGGACACCCATGCTCAGATACAGTTCCACATCTGTATCTGAAAATACAAAGCGCAATACCTTAAAATCTCAGTTTTAGATTGATTTGCCCGTGATATCTACTGATTTCAATCCGATAGTAATTCAGTAACTTTACCAGTTTTACTACTCTAGTGTATGTTAGTTACTTATTTAGGATGGAGTGGATGCCTTAGGGTGCATAAAAATCGACAGATATGAAAACCAAAGAATCGAAAAATAATTATTTAATAGTGTCTCAATTATTTTACGCTGATTGATTTCAAAATTAAAAAGGATAAAGGCACTTCAAAAAATACGGTGAGATAAGAAAGTTTAAATGCCCCCTTAACGATAAATTGATTGAACTCTTCGCATATAAATCATTTGAGGTGTGTTTACTGTTTAAACCTGACCTCCTTATTTCTGGATCGACTCATTGCTTCAATTTTATTTCACTTTACACCTCATTCTTATTACCTGTGTTGGCCCATTGTAGTCCACCATGTTTATCCCGTACTGTTGACTAGATTCGATTATGGCATCTGCTATTTTGGTTTTATACGGGGCATACGACACCGACAGATATCCGTCTTTACCGTGGTAGTCGCCGTTTTGGTACTCGGGCACGCTGAAGTTCTCCACCTTCTTGAAATACGGCAGGACATCATTAAAGGACCTGCCCCGACACATTTCTATTACCTCAAAGTCGATCCCACCTGACCCGTGTCACTCACCATCCGTCGTTCCCGAGGCGTGCCCAGTTGTCGTAGTCCCTGCGGTTGCCCCTGGTGTAGATCATGTAGTTCAGGACGCTGGAGCCGCCCACCACCTTGCCCCTCGGCCAGTTGCACTGTGTGTTGTCCATGCCCATGCAGAACCTGTTGCTGGGTTCGGTCTTGTACCGCCAGTTGGATTCCGTGAACTGCAGGTAGTTGGCTAGGATGGGTATATCCATCAGGAAATTCTCGGACCGACCTTGAAAGGTCAATAGTAATTTTAAGTGAAAGATTAAAAAAAATTAAATGTCGCATATTATTTAATTTTTTCCTCAGTAGAATATTATACTTACCGGCTTCGATGAGCAGTACCGACCAGTCTGGGTTTTCCGTGAGCCTGTTGGCGAGGACGCAACCGGCGGTACCCGCTCCCACCACTATGAAGTCGTACTCCTTCTGCATCTCCAATGCGAGTACGTCTCTGGGTTCGGTGGAGAACTGATTCTCCCCGTCTTGAAGTAGTTTAATCACACCGTCGAGCAAGGAGTCCTGGGCGACGACGGCGACGAGAACGAGAAGCGGCAGACAACTTTGAGGTAGATTCGGCCGCATGGTCTGCAATCATGAATAAAACACTTCAGCGGATGTGAACTAACACGTCATAAATAGTTAGTAGAAAAAAATCAAATAAAATGTTTTTCTGAAAATCATTAAATAAATATATTCGTAATTAAAGTAATTACACTATATCAATGATCGTCCATAATTAACAACAATTTATTATACATTTACAATAATTGTTGTATAGAAATATGGAATACGAAACCTAAACACAATAAACTGCTTCATAAGATAATAAAATTGATTAACGTAAAAATTACTTTAATTAAGAAGGCAGCTTATGAAACACTTGTAGGCCCACTTTGGTTGATAATTAGGAACATTGGCTAAATGCATTCGAGGTCAGGGTGGAATTACTCCAAAAAAACCACTTCATAATTTAAACGTACGTATATATTTGAGCGGGATATAGAATAATTAGTTGTTTTTTTGACATAAATGGTTTGAGATTTCTAAATAAGTAATACTTAGAATTTAGTTTCAATGTATGATTTCCAGTTTGAACATTCGTCGATTAAATATGATTGTGTAATATTTTAGTCGCTAACAAAGTTCTTTTATGAATAGACTCCAGAAGGATAAGCAATCATATAGAGCTGAAAGAAAAAGAAAGTCGCGATTATAACTTTTATACGTGTTTGTCTAATTATTATAAAATAAATCTTCAAAAAAGTTTTAGAATAATACATCAAACTGAACACCTATATAAATATACATATTATTACATTTAATTACAAAACTTAAATATTACATAATTAATGTCAAGTTCAACTGTTTCTTTGTACGTCTTCTACAAATTGAACTTGGGAGAGAAGTTGCATAATATTTCTAACTTATTACAAATGGTATATATGCGCTTTTAATTTATACAAAGCTGTATGTAGTTCAACGACATACAGTTGAAAAAAATAAACCTGCTTTTGCGCTGTTACAACTATCACTATTATATGTCGGTAGAGTTGTATTACTGTTTCTATATCAAAAGAGATAATATTACGTTTCTGTTAGCGCAAAACTGAAATTAAATTATTTCAGCTACCCCGTTAAATTAACTCTTACTGATATTTTCGTTGCTTTTGATACCGCGTATTTGATATTCAATATTGTGATAAGTGATTTCAATATACAATAAATTTTTCACAACAACCTGTAATAACCAATTTACAAGTCGGATCATTAATTCAAGAATCGTAACAACGAAATCTCGGAAACGAAAGAAATACAACAAAGTTTTTGAATAAGTCGCTTTATAGCTCTAAATATTGTAAGCTTTAAATTTTTAGGTAGGTATGTATTACATAAAGGACCTCGCACTTTTCTTATGGGAAGTGACTTTCGGCCAATTTTTTTGAAACTACGCAGATTGATAGTTTTTAACATGTAGATCAAAAGTCTCAATGGGCACAAATCCCCAAATCCACCCCTCCCCCCCCCCAAAAAAAACTGACTGCATGTAGCGGGGAGTTTACTTGTCGTTTTATGAAAAAAAGTTTCAAATAAAAGTTTTTTATTTCAATGAAATCTAAAAAAAATATACTTGTGTTTTTTCCGAAAAATCAATGTTTTAGCTTTAAAACGCCACCAAAGTTTAACACAGAGTATACGTATCATAGCTATAGACATACACGTCTGTTAGAATTTAAAAGCGTTGAATGTTACTTTTTCGAAAAAGCACATAAAAACTTTTTTAGATTTTGTCAAAATAAATAACTTTTACTTGAAATATTTTTTCATAAAATGACAAACTTTCTACATCAGCTATATAAACAATTAAATTGTTAATAACAATTTTCCTAACCCGATTTCGTAAAATTGAGTTGCAGATTCGAATTCAGCGTGAAAAAATACGTAAAAAAAATACGTGCAACTATAACTATAGTTTGATAGTCAAAAGTGTGGTTGTTTGGGGTCGTTGTTGGGTTGATTAAAAAAATAAATTATTTTACGTGCAGAAATCAAATAAATCCCCCCCGCTTCTTGGTGTCAGTTTTTTTTGGGGGGGAGGGGTGGATTTAAGGTTTTGTGCCTATTGAGACTTTTATCAGCTGCACTATCAACCTGCGAAGTTTCAAAAAAATTGTCCGAAAGCCACAGAAAAGTGCCGGGTCCTTTGCCATATTTAATTTTCACATTTTCAGATAGCATTTTTTTTCGACGGAGGTGTATCAACTTGTTTTTAAACATTTTCAGTCACGCTTAAACAACAAAAAAATATATTAGCGGAAGTCGATATACAATGAGAAGTTCATTTATGTAGGTAATATTGAAAATTTAACGTCTAATATTTCTCAATTTCTATTTAAAAAGGTATGACGGAAAAATCCAATTTTTGAGTATTTTTTTTTTTTTTAAATTTATATACTGCCAAGCTTTTTGGTGAAAGTCACACATTTGTTAAATAAGAGGGAAAAAATACCGAAAAAGTAGAAATGAATATGGTACCTCAAAAATTTTAAAATATCAAATAGTAAGTTTTAAGATACTGAAAATATTATTGTTTCAAGAAAGCAGTACCGTTAATCGAAGTTTATTAGTCGTTAGTAATATTTATAATTTTTATCACAAATATTTGATGTCACTGGTTAATTCTTACAGGTAACAATTGTTTTCATAGCACACTCTCCAAGTGTGCAAGTAAGAACTAAGAAAATATGTACATACTTTGTAAGAGCAATAGGAATAGGATATCAAATGTCAATTAATAATTATTACATATTGCGTGTATATAATATAATGGAGAAAATGTACTGATTGTACAAACGGCAGCTTGGAGAATTAAAAAGAAAGAAGAATTTGTATTTATTGAAAATTCAAGAATTTGGCAAAAGCGCCAGTGCCATATACCCTTTAAATTTCGTTTCTATAACCGTAATTATTACCGAATAGCATAAAAATACGAGAAAGCTGCTACAACAAAACGTGTCCAGATAATGGAATTGCAAACCCGTGTCGTGGAGGAACGCCATCGCATCGGGGTGATAAAGCATAACCGTTGCAAAATGTGCTACAAGTTTCGCATCATTCGAAGCATTTCAATTCGGCCTAAATGTCGGTCGAGAATTTGCATATCTGATACGGCGCACGCAGAAACCGACGATTTGCACGGAATTTCTAAATAAGAAAAACTTGCGGTTTCTTTAAATTAGCCTAGCGGTAACCTACTGCACTGGACTGTGTTTAATTTTTATGACTGGAGACAGTGATTTTATTATTATTAACGTTTTACGGACATTATGCAAACTAAATGGAATACACCTTTCAATAAAAAACCCAACTTCTTCGAATTGCCAGTCATGGGTCAAGCTGTACTCGTTAAAAATCGCTTCTACACAGATCAACATGGGTTTACCTATAAAATACCATCTTACAAGGATACGTGGCACTGATTGCCTTCAATGCAAATTAGGTAAAGATGTCATGGAAAAAAACAAAGAATCGCAACAAATTATTAGCGGAATCGGTTCATTAAAAGTAATTTGAATTTAAATGAAGCAAATATTCTTGGTAATAGAGTTCTTAAACTTTGCACTGGAAAACAATTTTTAAATAGGCAGTTGATTTTATAGTTTAACGTCATAAATTAAATTTAGCATATATCATTAATTTATTTTCCATAATTTTACAATGAGTACCTATGTCATGTATTGATATACCTATAATAATTTATTTGGAGAATATTATGATAGCGCCTCTATACTAGTGTGTCTTTATTAAATATTTAATATTAAATAATATGTAATATTAATTATTGAAACGAATCAAGTACCTAATTCCATACGGTAGTGCGTGTGTGATATAAATATTTTAATTTATTTTAGCTCGCTGCTGCCAGTTACAGAATTACGTTTCATTTCCTTAGCCTTAGCGAGGAATCTTTGAACTGCCTTTGTTGTATTCGGGCTAGGCGCTGTGGGGGGCGAACCAGCTATTAGAACTTGTAAATCCGTCCCGACGTTCAATTCGGTTCTTATTGGTTCTAAGGACGCTACGGACGGAACCGCTTCTGAGACAGCGGCGATCCTCTGATACGTTCCGTAGTGGCCTCTAGAAGTTATATCCTTTCCTCGATATAACCTAAAACAAAAAAGAAGAGAACCTAACTTTTCCTCCTCTTATAATTTGCTCTAGATCATTTTCTATATGTATATGTAATAGATATTCGGATTTGACGAGGACAAAGAAAATGCCTATTTCCAAATCGCGTAATAGAAATCTCTTGCATCCAGTCACTGTTAAATCGATGTCGGACACGCTTGCGATTGCTAAATAATCCTCGCAATGCTGCAGCAATGGGTGCAAAATGCCACGATCGGTTTCGCAGTTCGTACAGAGAACGACTTCTTCATTATCGGGTTCGGCTTTTCCAATCGCATCGTATCGTTTGCTGTATCGAGGTTAATAAGGCATTCGTTAGTCTTGCCGAATCCCCGGTAAATCGGTTTCATCACACGCAATTGCTTCACAGCTATTTGTATAACGGGTAATTAGTTTCGATGGATAAATGAAAGGCCGTGCGCGTACTTATATTAATTCCAAACTCAAAGGTTATGTAAATGCTGAATCGCATTTGCCAAAAAAAAATAAGAGATGTGCATAAATACCTACTGTTAGCTATGCTGCCCTGTTAAGCCATAAAGTCGTAACTGTCAAATAGTTGATTTTGAGATAACTAGCATTTTCTCTAGTCTAATTTGCCATGAAGATTATTACATTCAGAAAAGATATTTTTATTACATACTACTAATTTTTATTTGCAGATTTTGTTTTTTCACTTTATTTTGTTGTGCATACAGCCTAAGTATGATATTTGGCACATACGACATTTTCTGTTAATAATGATGAAAATTGAAACTATGAGAAAAGTAGTATCTACGATAAATTTCAATTGTTCATTAATTGTTATTTGCCTATTACTATCAATTTTTAACTGATATCCTTTCTTACAATTTGTGCAAGAAGCTTTGATTTGATATTTACTCTTACTGGTCTTGATTTTAATTTGATTATTTGAGTACTTTTTTCTTTTGCATAATTCGCCTTTTTTTTAGTAAATTGGGCATTGCTTGCAGAGAACCAGATATTTTCAAAAATTTCATCCATAATGCCCTTTACTACTTCTGAAAAACATTCATTAGAAACACGCAATATAATATTGCTCAAAATATTAACTTTTGGATTTTTTTATCCATTTTTATTGTTTCTAGCACTTAAATCCACCCACACATTTTTTAAAATATCATATGATATCTACTGTTTACTACATCTATACTTTCTACAAAAACTGCCTCTTCTTTGTATAACGATGCGTTGTTTATGACCTTTATTTTTGTTTTTACATTTGCAATATCTCTAAAACTGTTACAATTACTACTACTATCACTAGCCCTATCCATTTCTTCCATATCTGGCTCATATTCGCTGCTACTACTATCATCCTCTCGCTGCCTTTTTGAATAATTCAACCTTTTAAAAAAATCGATTTTCTCAGCAAGTTGTTTGATAATATGCATAATTAGATTAACAGGAACAAAAAATGTAATTACTAAATAAACAACTCCGGGGATACGTTATAATAAATATTACTACCTCACACTTTAACAGTCTAGAATGAACGAGACTAATTAAAAACTGAATAATTCCCACAGCAAATCACTGTTTATCTGCTAGCTAGTTACAAACTGAATCTGACAGGTGGTAGATATTATTTTGTAGATGGCGTAGTTGTACAGTTGTTAGTACAGTCACTAAATTACAGTCCCTAGATAACATATGTTATCTAGTGACTGTAGATATGGTATTTAGTGACTGTATAGTGACTGTAGTTGTTAGACGAATTGGTCGTATCTGTGTGATAAATATTACAGATACGACTTTTTATTCTAACATTTTCAGGTACGACTTTATTTCTAACAAAGGCATGGAAATTGTAGATACGACATTCACATTTTGAGGTATATAGCCTATAATAATAACAAATTCGTCCTTTTTTCTTAACAAACTGATAAAACTGATGTCGCGGAGTATTAGTAACCCTGTACTTGAAATTGGGGATAATTGCAGTTACGATTTTATGGCTTAACAGGGCAGTATGGGCGTTGTACTTATTTTATTTTTTTTTTTCAAGTAGAAAGTTACTCAGGGGTTTAGTGCGAGTTCAGTAAAAATATTTTTCTTTACTTTACATCGTTTTTAGAGGCCAAACAATCTTATATTTGAATTTCGTTGTCTGTTTTTGTCGCGACCACAGTCTTTTTGTAAAAAATATATTACACAAACCAAAATATAAATAAAAATCGTTACAATACAATACAAAGTATCCATCACTAGGTTTGTAATATGTTAAATATACTATGTACTGCAGTAGTTTCTATATATTTTCTTTATTTTGCGAATTCGTTAATTTACGTTCTAGTAGGTAGGTAGTATCAGTTTCACATTATTTGTTTCATACACATATTATTCTGTACATTAGGATGTACACAGATACTAATAATGGCGTTTTGATGACAATTTGTATATTTGTTGTGTATTTTTATTAAAAATTAAAAAATATATCTATTTCTCTGAAAAGATAGATTATATTTTTAAGAGTAAATTGGAAAATTCATTCATTTTTGTACTTGTTATGATTTTTTAAATTTATGAAATCATCCCTTCACTTCTAGTCTCCCTAACTCTGTTAATTTTAATAGTACAAGAAAAAGTCAATACACCATTTTTATGTAGAATTTTATGCGTTTCAACTTTTATAAGAAACTTCTTTTTCTAGCTCTTACCCCTTTGCAGTTAACTTGAAAAACCCCTTTATTTTATCTTTTTTCACCCCTGGCCGGGGGTTGAAAAAAATTACTGTCACTTATTGTTATTATATAGCTCAAACTAACTTACCTATATCAAAAATTCAGGCAAGTTGCCCAAAATTGCGATTTAAAGGCCTATTTAATTGGACTAACTTGTTTTATACCTACATACAAAAAATTAAATTTGCTGTAAAGGCTCAGCTGTTTATATTAGTAATTGTTTGTACTTTGAAATGTCGACTCGTTAAAATGACTATATATATAACTTTTATTGTTGTTCCTTGAGCTACTATTCATTGATAGGAGCAAACTCGTATGACCTTGCTTCAGTATAGTTTGTGGTCACTATAGGTACCTTCTAGGCTTTCCGCGGGAAAACTGCACACAGAGTAGTACCAAATAATATTGTACAAATCAAACTGATACATATTTAGATAAATAGTTTATTTTCCTTTTAACCGGTTAAATGAGTTTACTGATAACTGACGCAGGTAGGTACATTAATTTTGAGATAAAGATAAATGTGCCTATTTTTTCATTGCATTTGCAGTAACAACATTTCGCGTAATATTTAAAATGCTTTAAAAGTTAATGTTAAATAATCTTGAAATGCATATTTAAATAGAATTAGTTAATAATTTCCTCAGCGCACTATTAGTATTTTGTTTTTACCTTGATTTAGTTAATCCTCCGAGAAAAAAAATGAAATCTGACCAACCACAATAATTCACATCCCCTGGCACGAGCACATACCGCTTCTCTATTGCTTCATTAAAACGCACTCGATCCACTGAGATGTAAGTATCCAGAAAAACGCGAACCACCTTCTCGTTGTCTGTTTTGGCGGCAGGGCTCGAGATTCCATTGTTTCCCCTATGCCCGCTTGGTTTTATTTATACAGTTAGCCTGGCAAATGGATCTAGCGGCTGAGCAGCCCTGGTAGGTGTTCCCCTCCATCTGAATCGATCATTGACAAACAAGAGGTACGCACATACATATTTGCAAGTCGTTGAAATGGACGTACCATTTTATAAAAATGTTTCGGCAAATTATATTTAAACACCATTTAATTTCCTTAAAATTGCATTATTTAAAAATGTTATTGTTATACTACCTTGTTACCTAATTATTACTTACGTGTTAATTCAAATAATTTCCTGATAGGCCATTACCTATTCTCTCTTATTTCGTGGATTTTCAAGCCACTTCTTTTCTTTTTCAGAAGCTCCGTTATATTTACTTACTTTTTGTTTTATTTAAAATCGTGGCTGTGGATGAATATGTTAACATTCCAGTCATTTTTAACATAATTTAATTATTTTGGTTTCACTAGCTATGTTTGTATGGCAAGGTTATTTTTTTTAGTTGAGTTTGATGCCCAAGAACTTGGGTATTTTTTCATAAATTTGAAAGGAAGGTCGTTTATCCTGATATCTAACCTTGCCTGTTATAAAATTTAGTGTGTTGTATTAAATTAATTTAAATACATTGTACCTAAATATTATGCGTACCGTTACTGCTGATGGTAAAAGTTTTATTGAAACTTAATAAAGTATTTTTTTTTTTCACCCATTGAGTAATAATACAACGGTTTCATTTCATCAAATGGATGATTTGAGCATTTGAGCATAGCCGGATGTTTCTTATTTTTCTGTACTTTATAACAGATACTCTAACAATAAGTCTATAATGGAAAATTATGAAAGACTCCATAGTTTTTCCATACCATTAATTACTTATCCATCGACACATTGATCCGATTATAGAAAAACCCGAATCAAAGAATTAGGTATCGATAAATATGTATAAGCAGTTTTCTATAGACATCCTAGATATAACAAAAATAAACAGGTAAAACATATTTGGGTTTTCCCTATATCCCATTAAATATAAATTTTATGCTATATACATATGTTTAAACATAATATTTTCTGTTACAAGTAAAAATTTATGTAAATGTTTTCATATATTATTTACTTAAAAAACGGGTTTTCAATTACATTATTATAATTAGACACATGTACAGGGTGTGATGGTAAAAATGGCGGACTAATAAATGTGACTTTTTGTCCTATGAACATGTGACCAAAATTCACCCTCTCTAGACTACAGCCTTATGTTTAAAAAAAGTGAATTTCTTGATTACTCGTTAACGGCAAGTTAAAATGTAATCAAAATTTGTGAGTTTATATTTTTGAGTATGCTCTGCTTAATGCTGAACCATAGAAACACTCAGGGATGTTTTTGAGGGCCACTTCCAGCATTTACTGTAAAAATTAATCTTGAGAAAATAAACGAAATTTAAATAAAAATTTTTAATTGATCATTGGCAATTTTGCATGTCTTCTTCATAGTATTATAGAATTATGCAATTTTTTATATAGTTGTCTTTAAATAAATAAACTGATTAGACTTTATTTCATAGTTTGTTCATCACTTTATTATTTAAAAAGTTATATTGGAATAAAATTATTAAAAAATATTCATTCATGAATAGCATTATCTCCGACCTTTAATTCGCTTGATTTGTAATAGATGTCGCACTAGTAAAAATTTATTTATGAATGGACTCGGGTTATTTTTAACGAACAGCTGTTGTATGTGGTTAATTTGGTATAACCTGATTCTGAGTTGGTAGTCATGGTTTCTGTTAATTGATACGTAAATATTTAAAGAATGTCATGATCATTTTAGATATATTTTTGTATAAAAGTATATAAGTAACAGTGCAAGTCCATCCTATTATATAATTTTAGAAAATATGAAATATAAACAATTTTTTAGTTTATTTAAAACCATAATTTATAATTAATATACCTATATTAGTATCTGCGTTTAGTGGATAAGAGGGAAAACATTTTTATTTTCTATTCTATTAGAAAAAGTAATTCATGACAAAAAATATTTTGCTTTTTAATTGAATATGTTTGTCATGAAAAACTGTAATTTATATATATATATACAGGGTGATCAGAAATTTAACAAAATTAATAACGTTGAATAAACTGCTTTTGTTTTTGATAATATAAAAAAATGTTAATAAGAAAAGTTGATCATAACGGAAAGTTATGTTATAATTACGATTAGTGAATATAGCGGCTTACTTTGGTATAACCAGAAATGGAAAATATTATATTTTTAATAATTAATATTAAGTAATTCTTGATAAAAAAAAATCGCATATTAATATAAATAGAATTTAATTGTGAATATACATAATAATGAGAAAATATAAAAAATATGTACGATATACTTATTTTGTCCAAAAAATGTGTAAAGAATTATGTACAAAAGGACGATTTGAGACTAAATTTTTTTTTATGAGAAATAGGTATTCAGTTCACTTCACTTGAAAAAATAGTTGTAGGTACTTTAATACCTCCAGTATAAACAAAAATTCTGTGGAACAGTGTAGTTTAATAAATATGTAAATAAATGAAAGTAATAAAGAAATAAATAGAATAGGTACAGTAGAACAGGAAAAAATTTAAAAAATCATAAAATTAAATTATTTCTTTTTATTAATTTGAGCTTCTATAATATATTCTGGATCCATACATCTTTTTCCCTGTGGAATATTTTTGTATATTATTTCTGGTAGTATACAATTTTTATAAAATTGTTCCAAATTTGTTGCCATTGATTTTTTCCATAATTCTTCATCTTTCTTAATTTGTTCTACATAGAGCGGGTTGTTTTCACCACTATAGGTATATTACGAAATAACATATAGACTTCTTCCGGTTCCGTATCTGAAAGTAAGAAAATAATTTTACCAGATAATATTTGTTATAAACATAGATAATTATACATTTTTACCTATTATGCTTTTGATTTACCACAATGATATATCTAGTCATATATAGGGTGCCACAATAGTGGGATAAAGTTTAGTATAACTGCCTGTAGTAATGATACGAAAAAAGTTACTTGCTCGGATTCACATTTTATTATTATTTCCATTATTCATTATTTTCAGACCGAATTAAACGTTCAGAAAATCTTGTTTTTGGCCTGAAGATTTTGCCCTATACAACTATAACTGAAAATAATTATAAACTTTGTCACACTATTGGAACAGCCTGTATGTGCATTGCAACGACAATATATCATATTTATATTACGGCTAAGTAAGCGGAAAGTCCATTGTCGCATATGTAATTTTTATTTTCAAATAATCAAATACAATACCTACATATTTTAATATCTATTATTTACTTGAATTTAGTACTAAGTACAACTATGCCTAGTAAATTGTAATACTTTGTTAATGTTTTTTCCTTCATATAAAAAATAGTAAACTGCACAAATAAAATATTTCGCAGTCACAACGCAACAATAAAAGATAACAGCTCAAAGATCCATACAAGAAATAATTACATTCGCACCTACTCTGGTCCGAATCCATATAAGTACTAAAATGTAGAAAATAATATGAAATAAAACTTTTAGTTGACTGCAAATATTATAAATTTGTACAACCACTTGCCATCCTCCTTTTTTTGTAAATATGTACATAATAATATGTAGAAGATAGAAAATAGAAATATTTTCAGAACAAAAAACCGGCGGCCGCAAATTGGAGTTTTTATTATTTTATGACCCTTCTCTTTTCATATGCAATTATGAGATAGCAAGAGAGTGGGATGGACGTATAGGCCGGACAACTCATTATCGTGCACGTGTGCGTGCACCTGGCATTTTCTCGTTTTTTTTTAGGTGTGTTTTGCCGGAATTTGAATGAATGAAATAATCGTACCATTTTTACTATAAACGTATTTCCTGTAGCGACATCTATATGAATATTGTAGTACTTTGTTAGATGAAACGGGACTTCAATTTCCGTTCTTAAAAAAGAAGAAGGTCCCAGTATGCGATTTCCTACTATTCCAGCCCAAACATTCCCTTTTTCCGGCCGTTGCGTATGTTTTTCTTGCATCCATTCCGGATTTTCTGGCCTCCAAAACCTAATATTTTGCCTGTTCACGGTTCAGTTAAAGCAAAAAGTTGCTTCGTCGGTGAAAATTATGTGATTTTGAAGTTGGGTTGTCTTTCAAATAAATTTCTAATTTTCTCGCAAAACTGTAATCTGTGTCTGTGCCACATCTGCGCATAATTCTTGTAAGACGTTAACTTTGTAATTCGTCTTTAGAAGGGCTAACTAAAATAAAATATAGGGCGTCCATTAAAAAAATGTCGGTAAAGTTATAGGTGTGTCAACCTTGGCTTAAAAAAAAAAATAGAAAATATTACAGAAAAGTGACAATTTCTATTACTAATTGACCTGTTCCAGCGATTTTTTTAAATTTCAAATTGGAAAAAAAATATGAAGTTTGTTCCATCATCTTGGGACACACTGTATAATGATTATAGCTGGAGGGTTACTTAAAGATAATTAGTATGTAGAAGAATACCTATAACGTATGTCCTTTGAGTAAATTTTTTTAATTGTAGAAGTTTGTAGATGGAATATTTGGATGCATATTAATTATTCTTCTAAAATAATTATATAATTGGGGCCCAGGATGATGAAAAAAACTTGTTTTCAAGTTATGTAGTTGAATTAGCTCGCGTAATTTGGGAAATACAGAATCGTGTTGATGAACTTTTAATGATCCAAAGTTACAATTTATTAGTACGAATTTGGTGGATGAATCTCAACAGCTAGCTTAGAAAAATATTGTTTGTAGTCAGCGGTGGAGAATAATTAAAATCAAGGCTGCTGGCAACCTATACTTACAATACTTAACAATAGTAATTTTTTTAGTTGCCTTTGGCCCAAAATGATTACATCCTAACGAATTTGAGAAGAGTTGCTCTCTTCTTTTGCCAACTTCAACAAATTGACCAATTTATGAATATACGAGTTTTGTGTCGAATTTTGTGAACATTACCAGT